AGCATTGGGTTGGGATGTTTTCGTGATGCACATTTTCTTTGCATAAAACTCTCTCTTATACGTGAGTTGCTGTGGGTTTGTTTCTCCAAAGTACCTAGACTAATACACAGCATGATCCCAAAGTGCAGTGGGCTCCAGGTATCCTTAGAATCATTCTTATTGGAGAGTCAATCCCAGTGAGCTAGAGATGAAGCTATAACCCAAAGCACAGCTAGTTCCAGGTAGTCCTTAGAATCATCCCTACTAGTCTCTGAGAAAAAAATTCCCAGGGCTTTGTATGCCCAGGAAAATGGTGCTGAGCTCCACCAAAATGCATGCAGACAGCAACCCACATCCGCAGCCACTACAAGAAAGCAAGAGAAACAAAATGCACTTCTGGGGAGGACCTGAACCTGGCAATGTGCATAGAAGAGAGACTTTGAACTGCAACAGAAAGAAATCCTCAATTTGCTGGATGAAAAATTAGAAAGGATGAAAAATTAGAGAGGATAAAGTCCACTTAACGAAAGGAAATATGAGTTAAGGGAAAAGGAAAAGCAAACACCAGACCTGAAGAGGTAGAGATAGTATTAGAAACCTCAAAGACAGCAAAGTAGAATTCAACAAACATGAAAGAATCAAACAAGATAATCAAAGAAGCTGAAGAAATCTGAGAACAATGAATGATGCTATGAAGAGCAACAATATTAGAACCATCAGGTTACTGGAGCAAGACATAATGAAAAGTGAACAGCCAAGTTACTGAGGAAATTCTTCGAAGAAAGCGTCCCCAATTTAATGAAGGAGAATCAGACAAACATCCAGGAAGCAGAGAGGATACCAATTAGACTGAACTCCAACAAGAACACACTAAAGCATATGGTTCTCAAACTATCCAACTTTGAGGAAAAAAGAGAAAATGATAAGAGCAGCTGGATTAAAAAAGGCAGTCGCCTATAAGGACAATCAGCTAAGAATATGATCAGACTTATCAGCATAAACTGTGAAGGAGAAGGGAGAATGGAATAGCATCTTCCAAAAGTTGAAAGAGAATGATGTCAACCCAAGAATATTCTATCCCACCAAATTCCCCATCAAAATAGACAGAGAGTAAGGGTTTTCCCACATCAGGAAAAATTTAGAGAATACATTAAAAAATTTTTTTAAACCCCAGCACTACGAAAATTACTTCCCAGTCGACTTTATTCAGAAGACCAACATTCACAGAACACAAACATGAGACCACCACATAGTGTAACGCTATCCAGAAGTCAAAGCACTGAAAGCAATGCCCAAGACATCTTTGACCCACTGGTGAAAAGAAGACAAGAATTAATCCCACCACATATACATAACACTTGCTAAGGAGGGGAGGGAGGGAGGAAAAGTTATATCACAAGATGACAACAAAGAATCCACAGATGGATGTAACAATGCCAAATGCCACCATGAGACAGGATGTCCCTCACTGACCCATAGTGCTATGAGGGACAGAACTGGAGACACAGTGCGGGAATTGTGCCCGATCTGTACCCACCGCACTGGGTGAAATGCTAAGGGAGTGCAACAGAGCAGCAAGGGGAGCAAAGCAATGAAGTCCCTGGGGAATATCAAAAGTAGACTTTGGAGCCAGGGTGTAGTAACTCATCAGACTCAACTGGAAAACATGCCTAAAGGTCAACAAGCAGACCTAGAACTCTTTACTTGCTTTTCTATTCTTTTTTCCTGTTGTTGTTGTTACCCAGTTTGGGGGTTTTCTTTTGTTGTTTTGTTTTGCTCTGCCTTGATTTTGTGCTTACTATTGTCTCTGCATGTCTATCTAGATAAGATAGGCAGGATAAACAATCTAGAATGGGGGGAAATGTGACCGACAGACAGTTCCAGGGGAACATGGGAGCAGAGGAGACTGGGGAAAGGAAGTGGGTGCTAACAAACCCAAGGACAAGGGAACAACAACTGATCTAAAATCGATGGTGAGGAGGGTGTAAGAGGGATGGTAGGGCTTGATCAAGGGCAATGTAACCAAGAGGAATTACTGAAACCCAAATAAAGGCTGGCTGATCATGATAGTGGGACAAGAGGAAAGTAAAAGGAAATAGAGGAAAGAACTAGGAAGCTAATGGGCATTTATAGAGGTCTAAATACAGGCATGTACATATGTAAATATATTTATATATAAAGATATGGAAATAGATTTATGTACATATATTTATATGTTAAGTATCAAGGTAGCAGGCAGACATTGGGCCTCTACTCAAGTCCTCCCTCAATGCAAGAACACTTTGTTCTAATAACCTGGCATTTTGTGATGCTCACTTTCCCAACATGATCACTGAAGACAAAATGGGTGCATAGCAAATGTGGTAAAGAAAGCTGATGGTGTCTGGCTAGCAAAATATATAGCATCTGGAGTCTTAAAGGCTTGAAGATTAAAAAGTGGCCATCTAGCTGAGAAACAACAAAGTCCACTTGGAGAAGCACACCAGCCTGTGTGATCATAAGGTTTCAGTAGGATCAGGTATGAGGCATCAAAGACCCAGAACAAAAAATCATATCAATGTGAATGAGGGTGAGTGCAGAGTGGAGACCCAAAACCCATCTGTGGACAATTGGGCTTCCCCTCACAGAAGGGTCACGGGGAGGAGACAAGCCAGTTAGGGTGCAGTATAGCACTGATGAAACATAACAACTTTCCTCTAGTTCTCTAATGCTTCCTGCCCCCCACCATCATGACCCCAATTCTACCTTCCAAATCTGGCTAGACCAGAGCATACACATGGGTACATAATGAGCTGGAAACACAGGGAATCCAGGACAGATAAACTCCTCAGGACCAATAATGAGAGTAGCGATACCAGAAGGGTAAGGGGAAGGTGCGGGGAGAAAGAAGGAACTGATCACAGTGATGAACATATAACCCCCTCCCTGGGGGATGGACAACAGAAAAGTGGGTGAAGGGAGAAATCAGTCAGTGTAAGATGAAAAAAACAACTTTATAAATTATAAAGGGTTCATGAGGGAAGAAGTGTGAGGGAGTGAGGGGGCAAAAATGAGGAGCCGATATCAAGGGCTCAAGTAGAAAGAAAATGTTTTGAAAATGGTGAAGGCAACATATGTATCAATGTGCTTGACACGATGTATGTATGGATGTATGTATGGATTGTGATGAGTTGTACGAGCCCCCAATAAAATGATTTTTTTAATAAAATGATTTTTTTAAAAGGAAATAAAAGATGAATTTCATTAAGTAAATATATTGCCCAAGACCTCTTTAAAGTGTCAAAGATCAAAGATGTTACTTTGTGGCATAAGTTGTGCCATGCTATTTTCGACTACCCCATATTTATGTGGATGTTGGGCATTGAATATGGAAGACCACAGAATTGATGCATTTGAATTGGCGCTGGCAAGGTTTGTTGAAAGCACTATGGGCTACCAAAAGGACAAATAGATTCATCTTGGAGGAAGTCCAGCTAGACTGCTCTTTAGAAGCAAGGATGATGAGACTCATTTACTTTGGATGTTATCAGGAGGGTTCAGTTCCTGGAAGCGGGCATCATGGTTGGTAAGGTGGAAAGGGAGCCCAAAAGAGGAAGACCCTCTATGAGATGGAGTGACACAGTGGTTGCAACAATGGGCTCATACATAACAACAATTGTGAGGATGGTGCGTGACTGAGCAGTGTCTCTCTCTTTTGTATATCGGGTTGCAATGAATCACAAGAGACTCAAGGTTACGTAACAACAACAGTGTTGAGAGAGAATTTAAAACTCATGACCTTATTTTCAATCTGTCACAGGAGTAAGAAAATTAGAAAACTCTAAGTAACTAACTATATTTGCTTCCTGTAGCTGCGGTTAAGGGACCCTGGTGGCATAAAGATCATTGGGCTGCAACCTGCCTATTCAGCAATTCTCCCAGCAGCTCCCTGGGAGAAAGATTGGGGTTTCTACTCCCCTAATAGTTACAGTCTTGGAAACCCACAGGGAGTCTCTGTGAGTCAGCATTGACTCGATGGCAGTGAGTTTGGTTTTTTGATGGCTGTGGCTGCACACTACTGCACACTTGACAATTTAAAACAACAGAAAGTGGTTCACTCACAGTCTGGAGACTGAGTCAGAAATCACCATCACTAATCATCTATGTTGCATTCAAAAGACCTAACACAGATCTTAAAAACTGTAACCTGCATCGCTTAGAGCCCATTTGAAAACCCTACAATCAGAATACTTCTTAGAAGTGAGGGTGGTGGGACTTTGCCTCATCTACAAATGTTGTCGTCGGGGCCCAGTCCGTCCCTGGAGAAAGACATTGTGTTTGCTTCGTAAAGTACAAGGTCAGCAACAAAGAGGACGGCCCCCAACAAAATGAACTGACAAAGTCCAGAGACAGACTCAAACCCAGCAACAGGGCGACAGCACTTCATTCTGTCCTGCATAGGGTTGGCATGGGCTGCAACCGACTTGAGAGCCCCTAACAAACAGGAATGCATGCATGGGAAGAATCCTTGTTTTAAAAGTGCGTCAGTGAAGGAGTTCTATCCAATATTTGACTACCAGTTTTATCTCCAAGTGAAGCAACTATTAATGATTTATCAAGGGTGAATTTGGAACACAAGCAGACATCTCCAGAGCTAGTCCATTATTACTTTCATTCTGAATTGGAAGTAACTCACTTTGTACACAGGGCTACTTGCTTCTGGTATTATGCTTCTTGGATTCCAAATCTAAGCATGAATATAATTGCCACAGTAGCTAGTTTTGCTAAAGCAGTGTGTTCTTACACGCATCCCACCTCCCCCCGTTCCTATTGAAGATGTCTTTCTCACCAAGAATTTCCACAGGCCCCCGATGTCATCACTCTTCTCAAAGCAGGTGGGCTCCAGCCCCTCTTCCAAACAGCTCCTGATGGAGGCCAAGCCACTGACCCCAGCTCCAATGATGGCCACTCTCTTGCCCAAGGTTGCTTATGGACAAACCCAGCATGAATTTTCAGCCACATTATCACACAAATAAAAAAATATATATACCGTAACTTAATTTGAGGGCATGACTCTTTGTCTTAGAAAGAAACTGTCTTTGAATCCCAAAACATAATTTTGAGTTTTGAAACAAAATATAAATTTTGATAGTCTAGTAGTAATTTTGGTCATCTGAGTTCATTTATCATTTCTCTCTAATTCCTAAAAATAATAATCATTGTCTAAAAGAAGAACTATGTTTTTAGTCAATGGTTCAAAATTAAAAGATTGATAATACAGTGTATGCTTTATCATTTTTGCCTCTGGCTTTTTGTCATGCTTTTTATACCATTAATAATGAGAAGGAAGAAAAAAAGGAGATTCACAATAATTATAAGTTACAGCTTTCTACTTTATTAGACTATCCCAGTGTATAATTTATATATATTATTTATATATATACACCTATATTTATCTATCTACCAATCTGTTTGTCAATCGTTATCATCTAGCTAGCGTTTATCTATCTATCTGCTCTTTCCTTCTATTTTGACGTAGGACTTAATGAAAGAAGAGGCTGAAACTAATGCTAAAATCATGAAAGCTGAAGAAGTCTGTCCTGCAGTATGTCTGGTTGTCACCTCTCGTGTGTTCTCTTCTTGATAATGTTCTTCATAATCTCAGTTCATATGTACAGTTAAAAAACAACTTCTTCCCAAATCCTATTCTCTTCTAAGAAAATTATATTTCATTTCTTTTTCCTGACAGCATATTTTGTCCAGCTATTCCTTCAATATTTAAAAAACGTTAAGATAGAAACACATAGATATGCAAGAAAATGTACCTGGATTACACAGGAGAATTACCTGTAATTACCTGTAATTCCCAGGAGAAACAAATCCATTTGAATTACATGGCATTCTCCTTCGTTGCGTATTTGGTATAAAACTATAGAGCATGTTCCTTCTCCATTCACAGACCCTCCCCTCCTCAGCCCTTAACAATACCATTGTTTCATTTGACTACCTTCTCTTTGTCTTCTCATCTTCTGTATGTGCAAGTCCTGTTGAAGTTGTTCAGGCAGTTTGAAATTTTAAAAAGTATGATTTCTCTGACCCCCCCCCACTCTTTGTGGGAGAGTGTTGGAAAATGGGAGGATCTGACTTCACGAGGAGCTCATTATGTAGGCCTATTGCAAGGGACAACACGCTCAACTCCCTCTGAGAGGCGGAGTTCTAGACCAGCCTCTAACTGTCCCGCCCTAGACTGTTGTAGAAACAACCTACTCTTACACTCCTGCCCACTTGGCCTGGGAGTCAGGCAGCTTCTCCCAGCTGACCTTGCTGTCCTTCGCTCCATTTTATTTTGGGTTACTCCAAAATTTGTATTTCCCTTGCTCTTAGTTCTTTTGTGAGAACGACTGTGAGAAGGGTAGTATCCACATACTATAGAAATGAGCTCTTTTGAAATTTCCCAATATTGAAGAATTTCTCCATCTATTTCTCTCTCTCTCACCTCATGTTCACTCCTTTGACCTTTGTGGTCAAACACTTGCATTTCTCAAACTTGTATGTTTTTCCATTATGTGTAATTGTGTATAGTCATTAAAATGATCAAGTTCCATTTGATCCAATTTGTACCGTGTAAAACTATTTGCCTTATTCAGTTGGCCAGCAGATGAATAAACTGTAACTCCCTAGTCATGCAATAGAGCAATATTTCTAGAAATGGTTCCCCTATGAACAATATTCCTACATGATTTAAAATGATAACATAACAATTGTTTCATGCAGGTCGTCCCTTCACTAAGCAGATGATGAGTAGCATCAGGGGACATCTACTAAAGTAGTCCTTGTGGGGCAGGGATTACGCACTCAGCTAGCTAAACTAGCTGGTTAAATCCACTAGCTGCTCTTGAGGTGTATCTATATTCTATTCTGTGAAAACTGTAGCCTTGAAAATCCCATGGGACAGGTCTACCCTGTCCTGTGGGATTGTTATGAGTTAGAATTGTATGAAAGCAATGAGTTCGGGATTTTTTGTTTGTTTGTTTAGTAGATATGTAATTCTCAATGAATATCCCTTTCTGGATTTTGGAGATGGTAATGTTCTTATCTAAAGTATGTGTGGGTAATTTTTCAAAGAAATAGAAAAAAATCATCATCTCTAAATGGAAAAGGATAAACAAAACACGAATTAAAAAACAAAACAGTGGAAGACCTCTTGATCCCTGATTTCAAAGAATACTATACGCCACAGTAATCAAAACAGCTTGGTATTAATATAACAATAGATATGTAGGCCATTGGGTCTGAATAGAGAAAGACAATCAAGCACACAGAGACACTTGAGGGATTTTTTTCATTGAAAGTTTTTGTATTTAAATTGCCAGTAATAGTAGGCACAACATTTTAAATATATATATGTATATATATTTCAAATACAACCAAGTGTATAAGAATAAGACTTTTCAAGTAGACCCATGGGATTGAAGAATTGTACAGACACTATGGAAACCAATATGGTGCTTTCTTAAACAATGCAAATAGGAGTATCTTCTGATTCTGCTGTCTCTCTACTTGGAATATACTCTAAAGAAATAAAGAACAAAACACCAACAGATAAGTGGAAACCCATGTTTAATGAGCAATTTCTATCACAGCAAAAAAATGGAAAGAATCAAAAACCCCATCTGGGGAGGAATGGATAAATAAACTCTGGTACACACACACAAAAGGAATAGTAAACATCTTTTCAAAACAGTGACATGCCTGTTGAACACCTCATGAAGAAGCAAGGGCTCCATCCACGGGGTGACTGTGGCATTGTCACTGCTGTGACTAGATGGTCTGAGCAGCTCTATGGTGCATGTTTTTCTTTGTGTCTGTTATACGCCCAGGGGAGGAAAGAGAGAGAAATGGCATCGCCTTCCAAATCCCTCCAGTTTCCTTAAATATCTATCTAAACAGTGTTTACCAGAGGAGGACAAGTAAAATGGGAACGTACTTCAGTTTTTTTGTGGCTATTTCAAACAAACAAACAAAAATACCTCCTTCTCGCATATACATGAGGGGGGCTTCAAATATTTTGTGGAAAATTCCATTTTCTTTTAATTCCATTTTCCTGTAAATTTTTATAAATCATTTCTAAGTACATGTCAGGTTATAGATCATAAATTATGTATATTTAAATCTAAACCACACACAGACACACATCTCTGTAACCTGGCATCTAGTTCGAAGTAATCCAATGGCAATTGTCAATAAGTAAGAACCTGCTCCCTGTTAAAATGAAAGCAAAAGATTCACTAACATTTCAAATACAGTTTCAAATGGGTACATGGCTGAGCTCACAAAGCGAAACCAAGTGCTTTCAAATGATTGAGCAACAGAAGTATATTTATCAGGTAAAATCAAGGACTGAAGATGCTAGCTTCTGATGGAAATGCCAGGTCAGGGCAGCCAGGAGTGGGACAACACCTACGGAATGATGATGGGCAGACCTGCAAACCTATAATTTGGACAGTGAATAAGGAAAACCACAGAAGAATCTATGCATTTGAATTATGATGTTAAAAATATAAAAAACAAATAAATTTATCTTGGAAGAAGTCCAACCAGAATGCTCCTTAGATGCAAGGATGGTAATTAGTGTCTTTCATGTATTTTGGAAATGTTATCAGAAGAGATTGAAAAAGACATCATGCTTGGTAATGTAGGAGGCAGCAAAAAAAAGAGAGAGAGAGAAGACCATCAAGGAAATGGATTGATATAGTGGTTGAAACAATGGCTTACACACAACGATTGCAAGAATGGTGCAGGACCAGGCAGTATTTTGACCTGCGGTGCAGAGGAATGCTGTGAGTTAAAGCTGACCCCACAGCTACGTATGACAGCAACGCGATGCTGTCAGGCCTCAGACCTTGGGCAACCATTCTGATAGGAGTCACGTGCCTCTGTTTTGGAACTCACACATAACTGTGAATTTTGAGCTAAACATTTAATTCACTCATTCCTGAAATTCGGATAATGGAATTTTACTCCCTCTCATTTTATATAGAGCTCTTAAAATGTTTTTAATGACAGACAATAGTGTGAAAACAGATGGTGGGTAGATTACTTGGGAGCCATACCATTCTTGCAAACTTCATCATCTAAGAGAGTCGGGCTAAACCACAATTCTACCTTGGCCTGTGACGCTGCCCCCTCTCTCCAGGAAGAAAAGGCCTCACTTTCTTTTTTTTGCCTTTTGCAGGAGTGAGTATATTGCATCAGCAGCACACCTCGAACAGCCAACTCATTCTCCTGGCACTCCATCATGGGTTCTGCGTGTCACAGCTATCTGCAAAGTCACTTTTATCTTCAAAAGCATAATGTGCATGTCTAGGCTTATGGGAGCTGAGATAGTTAATGCTTATTGTGCCACCTGGCTGATAAACACGTGTGGGTTAATTGAAGGGCAGAGCCAGTCCTGTCCTTCACAACAACTTAAAAATTACTCAAGAGCCATAAACATTTCTATGAACAAATGAATAATAACCTTGAAAGATTTTCAATTTTACTCAGAGCCACAGGTATGTACCAAAAGGGCTGGCACCCCCTGGTCTAGCCTATTACTCAGGACTAGCTGATAAAATTGCAGAAATTCCTGTTTGGTGAGAACCTCTCTCGGGAAGTTAATGTGCCTCATGAGACATGGGCTCTCTATGCAGAGAACCCTCTCAGACCTTGCCCTTTGCCTCTCTTCATTTACATTCTTTTTGATTATAATAGACTGGTTGTTGTAAGTATTGTATACTCTCCATGAATTCTGTGAAGCCCTCCCAACAAATGAACGGACCTCAAGGGATAATAGGAGCCAATAGGTGAGCAAAGAGAGGGAGCATGTGTACGCTTGAGTTTATAGGTGGCATTCTGAAGAGGTAGTAGCCCAACCTGACTCAGTGTCTGTGGGTTTGGTTTGGGGTTTAAGAAATGTTGATCCCATTCCTTCATGTAAATGTCATAGATGAGGGTCTCTGGTGCAAGCGCTTAGCTCAGTTGTTGCAGCTCAAAAACACCCATAAGCAATATGTAATGAATGAATATGGCTGTGTTCCAGGAGAGTTTACTTAGGAACCCTAACATTTGAACTGTCTATAACTTTCACATGCTATAAAATGTTATTATTGTTTCCCTCACCCCCTCAGTCATTTGAGAATATGCAAACCAATTTCATCTTTGAGCCAGAAAATGGAGACAGGGCCAGATTGGACCCCCAGCCCCTGCCTTAGACAGAGCTCATTATTCTAGTGAGCCAATGCTCAGGTGTCAAGGAGCTTCTCTTTGTTGGTTTTATTAACAGGCTTCAAAGTATAAGCGCTTGGTTGTGTTTAAAGAATTCCACAAGGAAAAATATAACCTAAATCAATATGCCTTTTGTAAATTCAACTTTCCTTTCCTGGTGGATCTAGACGCCCTCTAGTGTGTAAAGGTGTCTCCACACTCCTGCCACCTTAGACATTCATGAGGAGTAGTAGTAACTTGGAAGACCTTTCCACTTTGCTTAGGATAACCTTCTATTCTGTTCCATTCACAGTTATCGCCGAGGGCCAGGTTCTCCCTCTATCTGGGACCCCAGTTGTGATTCTGGGTGATCCCACGTGTCAGAGCACAGCGGTGCTCCACAGGGTGCTCAGTGACTGATTCTTTGGAAATAGATTCCCGGGCTCAACATGCCTCTGGGTGGACCTCTATCTTCGAATCTACAGCTTTGGGGTCAGTAGCAAGCGTGTTAACTGTTTTCACCATGTAGGAATCGTCTCAAACATGAAGAGGCAGAATTACCTTCCAGTTAGTGGTGGCAACTCAGGAAACTGCATTCATTCTTCAGAAAATCAGTAAGTAATCCACATGGTTTACATCCTCAAACGAAACAAAATAGAAGACGGCAATTCAATTGAATGCAATGCTGTCAATTCTGACCTATACGCACCATATAGGACAGAACAAGCCCGCTGGGGTTTCTGAGGTTGTAAATACTTATGGGAATGGAAAGACTCATCTTTCTTGAATGCAGTTGCTGGTGGGTTTGAACTGCTGTCCTTGTGGTTGGTAGCCCAATGTGTAACCCACTAAGCCACCAGAGACATAAATCCCATCAGGTTTCAACAACAATCAAGAATGATGTGAAATGAAGGACTGAAAATATCAACTAAAGACAAATTCATGTCGAATATTCCCTTAACCAGAAACCAGAATTTGCCAGCCCTGTGTATTGTACACACTGTCTCCTGTTAAGCCAGCTTCCAAGTTTAAAGTGGTTCAATGACGAACAAGATCAGCTGAGAGTCAAAGGCTCCTTGGACCAGATTTTGCAAGAGTTGATTGATTTTCCAAGCTATCTAGACATGTCTGTTTTAACAGAAAAACACATATAGTCTTTCCTGATGTGTTTTAGGTCTGAGTCAAGGAAAGCAAATATAGTAAAGATTTTTTTGGTTTATTCTTTCATAGGAAAATATTTTATGACTTACATACCCAGAAAAATGTATCTTACAGATGACAAGTTGCCTGAATTATTCTGACATGAAAATTACCACCTGGCCAAACAGGAGTTGGGGTTACACAGGGTCAGAGTTAGGAGTTGGTATAATATCTGAGGTGTCAGTGAGCGGAGAGTTTCAATAATTACACCAAGTAGATACAAACTCCTGAAAACCATCGACCGCATGCGATCCACAGGGCAGCATTTGCTGCTCTGAGGGCAGGAAGTGGGTAAGAGGGAGGAACGGAAACAGCAAACATAGGGAGGAAGTAGGAAGAGCAGTTTTACATTGTGGGATTTGTCATTAGGGTCACAAAACAAAAGGTATATAGCTAGTGGAATGGAAAATGATTTTGCTTGGTAAACTTTCACCCACATCATACTAGAGAGTTTAAATATGCATATATGTATGATGTGAACATGTGATTCACTTATGCTAATGAAAACAAAAATAAGAGCCCACCGCACTGCAGTCGAATGGACATGGACCCATAGTGACACTGAAGGACAGAGTAGAACTTCCCCTGTGGGTTTCTGGGACGGCAACCCTTTACAGGAGTAGAGAGCCTCCTCTTTCTCCCACAGCCAGTGATTTCACATTGCTAAGCCTGCAGTTAGCGGCTCATATCTAAAGCAGTTCAACTCAGAGGTGTGGAGTCTACGGACAGGTACTCCTAACTGAAATGATTCGATGTTCATTTGAAAATACATAGTTCACATTACCCTTTCTCTTAAGTGCATATTAAACATACTACTCACCACTACCACAGGGACCTCTTCACAAAATTGTGAGTTCAGAACCCAGACAAATACAAGCTGCGTGTCAATATTTTTTGAACCCGTGTGATGTTCTCAGTTATCATCTCAGTAATGCAATGGTGAAGTGGCTGCCGTGGAGCGGATTAACTCGCCAAGAGGCGTATTGCAAGATTGTAAGTGACTTTTAAGGAGTTAGTGAAGCATTAGGAAACACTGGAAGAAATGAATTTATTTTACAAATGTTTATTAAGCACAATTCTGGTTGAGAGAATCCAGTGTCTGCATCCTTAAGGGACTTGCAGAAGAGCAATAGAAGCAACCACATATGAAATGGAGAGATGACATAATTAGTGAATGATGAGGAGGCAGTAGAGGTTACATGGCAGAATCCTCCCTTTCCATTAGAGAGATCTGAGTGGGGTCCCTGGACAACACACTGCAATGTGTAGCCACCACGCTTCTGTCGGTGGAGTCGTGAGAGTTGCACTGATGGTGAACAGGTGTTGAACAGCGACACCTGCAGAGTAAGATGGGTTTAAGAATAAGTCGACCTGTAAAATTCAGCCAGTGAATCCTCTGAGGAGCGTAGTCGCCCGATCCTGCTGTAAATGGCGTTGCGCTCAGGTGCATGCTGGCTTGATAACAGCTAACAGTAAGTGATGATGGACGCTGTGAAGAAAACGCAAAGCATGACAGTGGAATACAAAACAGCGATAGAACGCTGGTTTTTTTCATTGAAAAATAGGTAATATTCACATGGTAAAAATAGCACCATGATATTAAAAGGTATGAAATGATAGCCCCACAACTGTTCTGCCTTTGATCTAACTGTAGATATTGAGTAGTCTTGCCAGGTAGTGTTCTTTTTCACAGAAGAGGGTCACTGCAATTCAAACTGCTAGCATGTCCTCAGGAGTAGGACAATCAGAGAGGCTGATGAAAGGGAATGAAGCAAAGAAGAACCCGATTTATAGTTCGGAGTTTTCATCAGAAAAATTTCCACAACAGATGCGCAGCTAACAAATAACTGTAAGTCATGAGGAGAATGGCAGAGATCACGAGAGTCCTGCGGAGTCGGTGGCTCAGGGGATAAAGAAAGATGATCTATGTGATTTGTTTGAAGTAGATTTGATAGTTAATTTGGGGGCGAGTGACATAGGGTGGGTGACAAGATAGCCTGTGAGCTCCATTCCATGTCCCAGATCTGAACAGCTGCAACTGGATTAATGAAAACCAAACCAACCAAGCAGCCAGCCCCAAATACCCAAACTCTTTGCTATGTTGATGCTGACACACAGGGCTGAAGAGCCTCACACGCACACTCACTGCCCTCCAATTGCTTCTGACTCACTGCAGCCCGATAGAGTAGACCTGCACATGTGGATTTCCAAGACTGTAGCTCCTTATGGGAGTAGAAAGCCTCATTTTCTCTTGTGGAGTTGATCGCTTCGAACTGCTGACCTTGTGTTTAGCAGCCCAATACCTAATGACTATGCCACCAGTAATCCTACAGGGGTAAGAAAGACATTTCAGGTTAACGTTGTATTCATGAAGGAAAAGGGTGATCGTTTGATGTCATGTGAGAGAAACTGGCTCTTTCATCCATATAATCTATATACTATTTTCATTGGTCATATCCTGGTAGGAATACACTTTGCGCCAAAAAAGAAAGGAAGAACTTTAATAGCTCATACTATGTCTGCATTTTAAAACAGTGTATTTAAAATATGCTTTATATTTAGAATTTTTGACTATGCAAAGGCATGTGATTGCATAAATTATAACAAACTATGAATAATATTGAGAAGAATGAGAATTCCAGAACACTTCATTGTGCTCATTCAAACAGGAGATACTGCATGGTTTAAAATCAAGAAAGGTGTATGATAGGGCTGCACAAAGAATGCAATTATTTTCCATCTGTGTTGAGCAAATACTTTGAGAAGCTGCACTATATGAAGGGGAGCTGGACATGACGACTGGCGGAAGGTTCCTGAACAACCTGTGATTTGCAAATGGCACATCCTATTTGCTGAAAGTGAAGAAGACTTGACACAGTTACTGATGAAGATCAAAGAAAACTGTCTTCATCCTGTGTTAGAACCCGATTTAAAGAAAACCCAAACCTAGCAAGTGCACCGATAGATAAGAGTGAAAGAAAGACAGAACGGATTCAAGCTGTGAAGGGTTTTATTTTAACTTGCAGCCACAGTCAATGCTCATAGTAACAGGAGTCAGGAAATCAAATAAATGACATGCTGTTGTGGGCAATCAATTGCATACAATCTGTAAAAAGAATCAAAAAGAAAATATGTCACTTTGATGCCTGAGGTTTGCCTGACCCACACTACGGTATGTTCACTTTTTCTCATAGGCATGATGTGTGGTGAGTAACGAATAAGGGAGGCTGAAGATGAGTGGATTTGGCTTGTGGAGTTGGCGAAGAATATCGAAAGTACTGTTGACTGCCAGAACAAACAGATCTGTCTTTGAAAAAGTACAGCCAGAAAGTTCCTTAGAAGTGAAGATGGCGAAACTTCCGATCAGGTACTTTGGACATATAATCAGGAGAACCTGTTCCGGGAAAAGGACATGGTGCTTGGTGAAGAAGAGGGTGGTGCATGTTTGGACATGTTATCAGCAGAGACCAGTCTATGGAGAAGGACTCATGTTTGGCCAAGTGGAGGGCAGCAAAACTAAATGCAAGCCCTCGCTCAGACGGACTGGCACAGTGGCTGCCACAATGGCTCAAACATAAGAACAATTGTGACGATGGCATGGATCTGGTAGTGTTTCTTTCTATTGCACATAGGGTTGCTATGAATCAGAACCAACTAACCCCCACAAAATCCTTTAAAAAAATCATTTTATTGGGGCGCATACAACTCCTATCACAATCCATACATACGTCAATTGTGTAAAGCACACTTATACATTCATTGCCCTCATCATTCTCAAAACCTTTTATTTTCTGCTTGGGCTCTTGGAATCAGCTCCTCATTTTTCTTTTTTTCCCTTTCAACATTATCCTTATAACTGCTCTGCAAAAGATCCCATCATGAAGTGGAGCACACCATGTCAGATCAGAGTATATGGGAGAATGCTGGACCACTCAACTTGACATAAAGCCTAACTATCACAAGAGGGAAACTATGTTTCTGAAGGAAGTATCTGTTTCTTTTAGGATACCTTTCATTCCTATTTCTAGAAAAAAAATGCTTTCTTCCATTATCGCGTCGTTGTGACTATGTAAATTAGAGGTGTGGGTGCTACCTTTGTTGTTGGGTGCTGCTGAGTTGGTTCCAAGTCATAGCAACGCTGTACACAACAGCAGGAACCACCGCGGCTCCTCCCCACCCTCGCGGCCGGTGCTATGTTGGAGACCATCTTTGCGGCTATGGTGTCAATACATCTCATCGAGGGCCTTCTTCCTTTAAGTTGCCCTTCTCTTTTACCGAGAATGATGTCCTTCTATAGGGCTGCTTTCTCCGGATACATCTTAAGTCATACAACTTAGAAAGGCCAGCAAGGTTGGTGCCAACCAACCCTCCCCGACACAGAAAATATGTTGACAGTACAGTCAACAGGGGAAGGAACAAGGTGGAAGACTAAAACTTGCTGGATTTCAAATAAAAAACGAACGGATTTCACGTGCCATAGAAGAATTCAGAGAGAGGAGAGCTTCAGGGTCTTGGATGCAGTCAGTAAGAAAAGAAGCCCAAATTGAAAACACAGGGTCTATACATGTGAGGTCCTGAGTAGTGAAGTAACTGATTGTCATTTGATGGGGAAGTTACTGCGCAGCATGTTAGTCATATGTGAGAGACTATTAATTCCTCTCATCACCACCAAAAATATGATGATAAAGAAGAGCCTGCAGGAATTCTAGAGAACAACCCTGGACTAAATCTAAATCTAAGGATCCCTGATAGAGTATTGGGTAGTTGGTAGTTGGACTACTAACTGCAAGGTCAGTGTTTTAAGACAACTAGCAGCTCATTTCTTAGGAGAATCTAAGGCTGCCTGCTGACTTAAAGACTTACAGTCTCAGAGTTCAACTCTGTACTATGGAGTTATTATGAACCAGATTCAATGAAGTGGCAGTGGTTGGATTTGGTTTTTGTTTTGTTTGATATATGCTGAAGGCAGAATTGCAGCTTTCTAGCTAGCAAGAATAAATAATGGACTGTATCCAGATTTTCTGTTGGGCATTTATGATTGCGCTATTATTTATTAATGAATACTGTACAAGTAAATATATTTTCCAATGAAAAATAATAACTTTAACATGCTTTAAGTCAGAGACATTGTGTTAGTCTAGGTTGCCTACAGAAACAAATTCATAGATACTCATATGTGTATAAGAAAGAGCTTTATAAAAAGAGTAATTGTATATTAAGAAAACACCCCAGCCCAGTCCAAATCAAGTTCATAAGTCCGATATTAGCCCATATGTCCTATACCAGTCTATAAATTCCTCTTCAGACTCACACAACACATACAATGACACTGAATGCAGGAAGATCACAGGCCAGTGGGTTGAAACTCTTGTGGATCCAGTGGTGGTGGAAGCACTTCAGTGCTGGCATGGGTCGCCACGTGGCTCCTCCAGCTCCAGGGCTCTGGCTCCATCAGCATCTGGCTCGCTGCGACTTGTCAACAGGAATGTCTCCCAGAGAGAGTGTGTGTCTGGCCTCCAGGGAGGAAGACAGGAGTTTTCAGACTTCTCAGGAGAAAGCCACGCCCACCCAGGGGCTTCATTGCTTATGACCTGATTGACAGGCTAGACTGGACTCCTTCTCAAGGTGACAGGAGATTATGTAACTGCCACACATATTAATCTAGTAGATTGAACTCTGAGGATTAGTTAAAATATCTAATCCTCACTGCTATCTAATCATGCAAAAGTAATTTAAGTTCTATGAGCCCTACTGGGGTAAGCCCTGATGAGTAAGCAAAAGGTTAGCTATTCAAACAGCTTGATCCTGAGGAGAAAGATGAGGCAGTCTGCTCTTATAAAGATTTACAGGGGTTTTGACTCAATGGCAATCTGTTTAGATCTCTGATTACTCAGTTATTTCAACATACCTTCATCCTGTTATCATGGTAGTAACATGATGTGTTACACATAAAGCATTTTGAAATGGAAAGGGACTTGTGAAAGTGAAGTATGGTCTGAGGAATCATTGAATGAGGTCTTGGGATTTCTCTTTGACAAGGTGTGAAAGGTGTTTGCAGTATTTCTTCCAAGGTTATTGAAATGAACCTTTTAGAAAACAGAGCAGCGATGCATATAGGTCAGCAAATAACGCATGGAGAGTGGCTAGAAATGAATAATTTTTTCTTGGTTGAGAAGAGGAATTTGGGTCTAAAAAAGTTAATGAGAGTAACAAAATACCATGTATGAAGGGGTTTCAAAATGTGCATAGAAAATGGAATGAAAATATAATGGATTTTTTTCCATAAACTTTTTGATGTCCTGTTATATATAGTCTAAAATATTCCAAGTTTGCAGCTAAATTTCTTTTTTTGATATTTCTCTCCCTTTTTTTTTCAGTTCTAACATAATTGATGAGTTAAATTCTTTTGTGTCCACATTTTTAAGTTGTTGGAGATAAAAAGTGAATCATATGTAATCACCTCTGAGAAAACTGAGCACCAGGCTCTAT